AAGACGACCTCTCATGTTATATGTTGACAAACTGCACATAGAAACATTGTTCGCGATGTCTGCCGTCAGATATTCCCGTCTCGTCAATAACATGTAAGTTAGCACGTATTTGTTAAAGGGGACATGAAACGTCCATATTTTCGCACTGGTAGTGCTAGTAACGTTAGCTACAGCCTATTACTAGGAAAAAGTGTCTCCGCTCTGACATCCTTCAGGGAAAGCATCGCCGCTTCCACACGTCTAACTCCCAGCACAGCATGGTAAACGTGCGCGCCGGTGATGCAGAATTGACCACGCAACACATGCTCAAGATCAACCTCTTGACAACAGATGGACTCTGACACGGAGGGCATCGCAGGACAACAGCCACACTGACACCTGGTAAGTTAGCGTTGCAAACCCGCTCTCCGCCCCAAACCACCACTGACTGTTCTACACAGCAACGTAACTTACATGGTGTTGACGAGACGGGAATATCTGACGGCAGACATCGCGAACAATGTTTGTATGTGCAGTTTGTCAACATATAACATGAGACGTCGTCTTTTTGTCTAATATCTGTACCAAACATTAGTCGTTCGCGGTCAAAACACTGTTAAACTTGAGCCAACCAACCCCGTGACGTCACCTGCACAATGGCGGCGCCCTGGCGGCGAAAGATACAAAGTTTTTTTCTTTTTTTCTTCTAAATGTTTACATTTGTAATGTTTCTTATATAATTGTTGATTATATTGGAAATCCATCTTGTAAATCATGTAAACTTGATTCACCGCTTCATTTCCCCTTTAAAGCTAAATTTCCAGCATCATTTTCAGCATTACTCCAGTGTCACATGATTATCCTTCAGAAATCACTCTAATATGATGATTTAATGCTCAAGAAACTTTCATTATTATTATCAATGTTGAAAACAGTTGTGTAAAATTTTTTTGCCAAAATTTTGATTAATAGAAAGTTAAAAAGAACAGCATTTATTTAAAATAAATTATTTTCAGTTTAACTCATCCTTGATGAATAAATGTTTTTATTTATTTTATTTATTTCCCCCCAAATATAAAATAAAAATTCTTACTGACCCCAAACTTTTAAACGGTAGTGTTTAATGTTACAAAAGCTTTAGATTTCAGATAAATGATGTTCTTTTGAAAGATTCTTTTGTTCTTTTGCTGTTCTCTCTTCAAAGAAGTTTGAAAAAAAAAATGTACACAACTGTTTTCAACACTGATAATCATAATGAATGTTTCTTGAGCATCAAATCATCATATTAGAGTGATTTCTGAAGGATCTTGTGACACTGAAGCCTGGATTAATGATGCTGAACGTTTAATCACAGGAATAAATTACATTTTAGGCCTACTGTATATTCACATACTGCCCTACAAAGGCAAAGCGCAGTAACTACACATTTGGTCAAAAATGACTGAGTACTTGTAATGGGCTTTATGACATGTGTTTTGTCATGTGAAAAAATATCTGGGTTCAATTATGTCCCATTTCGGAGATGCATTACCACTAAATTATCTACCCATAACATGTTTGACTGGCTGGTAAAAAAAAACTTCAAAGGTCTTTTTCCTGTTTCTTTGTTTGCGTAGGCCTAGTTACTGGAATAATATTTCACAATATTACTGTTTTTTTTATCAAATAAATGCAGCCTTGGTGAGCAGAAGATACTTTTAAAAACATTTTAAAAATCTTAGTGTTAGGCTACATACATATCGGCTATCGTTCATAAATGTTTTAATTAAATGTTACACTAATTTCATTGTATGCAGAAGAGAACATGCATTTCGCGAGTTTTATTTGCACGTTTAAAATGTTAGATGACATAATATGTGCAAACTATTGTGAAGTAAACTTTCTTTGGTTCTTTCGAGCTATGAACCGCGTGTACACGTGACGTCACAAGGGACGGGGCAATGCGAACCTCCAAACTCCACCTGAGTCCGTTTCGCCTGATGCCTTTATGTCTGAGGCTGTTTTGCCTGATGCCTTTTAGTCTGAGGCTATTTTGCCTGATGCCTTTTTGTCTGAGGCTGTCTGATGCCTAATTGTACGAGACCTGACACCTGACATTGTTTTTCCTGAGACTTGAAGCTTTTCAGTCTGAGGCGTAATGCTGTTTTGTCCAATAACTGAAGCCTTTTAGTCTGAGGCATGATGCCTTGTCTATGTCTGTCATAGGTCTGAGGATGTCCTAAAATGTACACCGTAATAATACGGTCGTTTGTGACGTCAGAAACACCAGCGATTTCAAACCATGTTTTTGAGACTGTCTTTGGTTAACTGCAGTTTTAAGGAGGAAATACTACAGCAATGCTGTCGACTTATGAACTTACACATGGTGTGTCTTAAAGCAGATTAAAAACACCACATACACAAATAACAAGCTAGATCTTCACCACAGGGGGACGTTAAAACAAGAACAAATATCTGTCAGTGGAATCAGAAAAATAATCTTGTTTTCTCTTTGAATTAACTCTGACAGATATGAGGGCTGTTTCACAAAACCAAGATAGCGGATTTAGTCAGGATTTTCCAGATATCCTGGTTGAATTAAGCCGGGACTCGGTTTCACGAAAGCAGTAGCACATAAGTTACCATGGCGATTTATTCTGTGCAGCTAGCCTGCTCCAGACCAGGCTAACAGCCAGGCTTAGTCAATCCTGGTACCTTATCTGTTCAGTCAGCAGTCAGTCATCAGAAACCAATGTGTTTTGTCAGTTATTCCATTTTGTCATCTATGTGTTCGGCGCAATTTTTTATCAGCCTGCATTAAAATACCTCAGATACATATTGGCATTCAGTCAAGTAGCCTACCATTATTATTGTAACATTATGATGGTAGCCTACCATTATTAACTATAATAATATTCATATGGGCATTGTTACTGTTAAATTGTGTTTTTGAAGACAGGTGTTCTAGGTTTGACAGATAGGTCTTTAATAGGCTATTGTATGTGATGAGTGAATTAGAGAAATGGCTGATAAAGAAGCAAAAGTTTTATCAATCAAGTCAGGCGATATAAGTAGCTCTAAACAGATGTTTCGTCCTTTACAATGGCATGTCCATTTTTGGATGACATCATAGATGATGAAGCACTTGTATTGAGAAGACCTTTCAGACGTAAAAGAGTGTTTCGGGACAGGTCCGACCCATTGGCTTTTCCCGACAATTACCTGCAAGAGCGTTAGCCTACTGCTTTTCTGGGGATGGCATCCGTGCAGACTGTTGGGTCCCAAAATTTTATCAGACACTTACCAGTCTGCAAAATGTTCTCATATTCGATCTTAACTTGTTGCCAGGTCCTCTTTGGTCCAGTCATGTTTGTTCAGTATAAATATTGATAGGATGTGTAACAAAAAAGAGTAACATAAATTAATCAGCTGTCAGATTCACACATGTTACAACATTGACTTCCACTGTTCATTTTTAAGTTAACAGTTGTTCATTTGAGCAAATGACAAGTAACTCCTTGAATGTATAATTATGATGTTTTCAGTAGCGTATTCAGTCGATCCGCTATTGTTTGCCATGTCCTTTCTCGCTCCTTTATAATAGCGGCAGTGTTTCCTTTTCTGAGTATGATGTGCTTCAATTCCTTGTAAGTCTACATTAAAAGATGTTGCTCATTTGGTGTGAAGATATGCAGTGTTGGGTAAGTTACTCTACAAAAGTAATTAATTACTAGTTACTAATTACCTCTTCAACAGTGTAAGTAGATTACTGTACTAATCTAAAAAGTATTTAATTACTTTTAATTACTAATTACTTTCAAAATCCCATATCAATCTCAACCAGCTGAATAATACAAGGATAGACATGAATGTTTTAATTCTTTCAAATAAATACTATAAAATTGCATGAATTATCCTTAAACAGACCAAGGTGGAGAAGGTTACATTACAAAAACATACTTTTTAGCATCAGACAATACATTTTGATGTTTTATGTCTGATCTCATGACATTTCACACTTTTTTCATATATATTTTACAATAATTCATACGAATTTGTACAAGTGCGATCGTATGATTTAGACACCTCATAAAATGCATACGAATCGCTGTGAAATTGGATAGATCTATACACCGTATACCTCAATTACATCAGAAGTAACTGTAATTAAATTACAGATAAATTAAAGAGTAATCCCTTACTTTACATTTTCAAGGGAAAAGTAATTAAATTACTATAACTAATTACTTAGTAGTTAGTTACACCCAACACTAGAAGTATGGCGCATGCTTATCCATTGTAGCATCAATGAATCTGTGATGGACTGTGTGGTCTCTTGAAGAAAGCTGTTGACACCCACTGATCTGAATTACTTATACCTGGCTTGACATAGCCGCTCCTCCTGAGCCTGGTTTGGCCTTTGTGAAACTGATAAAGCCAGGATGCACTGATCACAGTAGGTCAAGCCCAGCTTTATCTCTTTTCCTGGATTACTAAATTGTGCTTTTGTGAAACAACCCTATGTTCGGGTTTTAAACACAAACTCACTTGATTTTGATTTTTCAAACAAAATATTTTCTGTCATTTTTCTTCTCCAGTAAATGCATCTTAATTTAAGAATTACTATGAAAGGCAAAGAAGATAGAAATACTAAGGAAGAACAAATGGCTTTCTTTACAACTTGCCCTAAACCAATTTAATAGTATATTGTTGTACAATTGCATGAAACACATGGTTAGATTTAGTTTCCCCTCATATAAGGGAGCTGTCTTCAGCATTTAAAGCTATACTGCTGTTCGAGACGTTTCAGTGGATCTCAGCGTCTGATATTCAGCAAATCCTCTCCTGTATCGAGAAGAAAGTGTTTCCAGCTCAACAGTGTGTGTCTATGTGATAAAGCAGGATCTGTTCATCCCTCAGGGTCAGGGGTCATTTCTTATAACGAGGGCATTGCATTAACAAGCACTAATTGGATGCATTACCCAGTTCTTCCCAAACCTGAAGGTCAGAGACCGAGGATGAGACGAGATGGAACTGTTAGAGCCATTTCCCTTCTTTTTTTTATTGTTGCTGGAATATCAATTTTAAAAAAGTTTGAGCTTGAATAATGACTAAACTGGCCAGGCTCTTAGTCAGCTGTTCTTCTCTGTCCTTGGACATCTCTCGAGTGTCTGAAACTTTACAAAGTGTTGTATATTGACATGTGCACACTGCCCTCTAGAGGCAAACATTGGCAGCACAATCATACATTTACATAATTTATAAATATAAGAATCATTATTAAGAGTCATCCTGTTAATATAATTTTGAAACAAACCGGTTATTGATTTGAGAGAATATCCCACTTTCTCCACAGATCTCTAGCCTGTGTTCAGCGTGACAGAAGAGATGAACACTAAACGATCCATAAACAGCAATACTGTAGAAATATCTTTAGGCCATTAATAAACATTCAGAATTCTTCCCCTCAAACAGAAACTTCAGATGTTTATATGAGTGAAGGACAGGAATATTAACAACTTAAATTTGTCTTTGCTATCATACAGATTCATGTTGGTTTTAACTCTTCTTAAGAGACTGAAATGTACATATGCTCACATGATTAAAAAAATAGTTTTTGGTGAAGCATCTGAGTTAATACAGTTTGAACAAACTCTCATAAATGTAAAGGAGCAGACGACAGCGGCGATGAGGAATCAGGGTCTTTAAGAGGCATATTTACACAAAAGGTACAACAGATTATAATGGCTAGAACTATCTTATTTAAATCTACCTGATACAAGCTCAATGCAAGGAAACTACAGCACATGAAAACACGAAGGAAAGAGGAGTAAAACCCACATGGTTATAAAACAGATAAAACTCGTTCAGTGCTGGAGTTCACTTCGCTGATCCACAGAGAGTCGTCAGCCGGTTCTGCATTAGGAAAACAACATTAAGTCATGCAGTTTACAAAAGGTGTTTAAATTCCATTTAATAGTGTACGATGACAGGTTTCTGCAGGCGTTATAAAGAGGCTATTATAAAGACATTAGGAGCAAATACACACACTTTAAGGAATAGAGAACAGTGTGTGTTCTCCAAACAGCCAGGGAGAAATCAGACAAACTTTCAAAATACAATTTAAAGGGATAGTTCACTTTTTAATTCACGTTAAAAAAAAAAAAAAAAAAAAAAAAAAGTCTTTAGTCGCTCTGCTGTTGACCTCTAGAACACAAACTCTACTGATTTCAAACCTTCATACTGATTAAAGTTAAACTCGGAGTGGGTCGTACCTGCAGGTTCCTGATGCTCTGCAGGGCTTTCTGGTCCAGCCGACTCAGATCCGCAGAGTCCATCTCACTGGCCAGCAGCTGCACACACTGACACATGAACAGAAAGAGAGAGAGTTATTTAATGCACTGTCAGCATCCAAGGCTATTTCCATGGCTAAAATTTAACTTCAAAAATACAAATATCATATAAATACAATAAAACCAAGCACAAGTCGTCATATTATCAGGGTTCCCACACCTCAGGTAACCTCAAACTAAAGGACTTTCCAGATCCAACACCCTCAAACTCAACGACTTAATGTGGACACGCACATCAAGAGAGAGCATACGTCATGTGACCTTGTAAGATGCATTGGTACAGTTTTCATGTGTTAAACTGCATTTATTTTTGGCCATATGACAGATCTGATATTCAATTTGTGGTATTTCTGTTTTACATAAAACTGAAGAATCTTCAGTACTAGGGATGCAGCGATCAGCGGATTTCACAATTAACCGCGATTTAAAATGTCATGGTTAATTAATCGTAAAGTTAATGGTTAATTAATAAAAATGCGAATGAGTAGAGCGGACAAAGGCTATAGATCTCAATAAGAGTGACGATGCAAAAAAAGAGCTCTATTCGGTATGGTTTTCTGTGCGCACAAACCCGACAACTGCAGCCATGCACAATAGAGACCGCGCGCAAGGATTGAACTGAGCTTTCTTTCATGTCTTAATAGACAAACCCACACAACATTGTCTAAATGTCCGTTTTGGACAGTATTCATGTAATCTATGTCGGTTATGTCTTAAATAGTTGTGAGTGTATCGGTGTGAATCAGTGCAATTGGATCCGCATGTCATTAGACATGATCCGACGTCTTAAAGTGACAGTGTAAACCTAATGCGGTCTGTGTCCTTAATATTGATCAAGCAACAAAAGAAAGAGAAAAGCATTCACTGTTTGTTAATAGCTGTAATAAGGATTCATTATATTCATACAAATAAATATGTCTGCTTGAAAGAATAAAAGAATGATGTATGCAAGTAGTTATAAAGAATGCATATATCAATAATTGAAAAGAAGACTGTTTTACTTTAGGAAATGTGGTTTTAATTTGTTTTCTTTTAAGAGAAATACATGGTTAATATTTAGCATACATTTAATTCAACAGATCCAAAGACTGTTTATTCTTATTTTCATTGGGATTTATTATCCCTTTATATTATCATTTATGTTTTAAGTCAAATACCAATAAGATATTGTTTATTTTCTACTTCAGGTTGAAAATAAATTTATAACAAACTAAACCCTGAACAAATTAAGTCAAAGGCTGTAGGACTCTTTGATTGAAATAGATCTTTTTAAAAGGAAAATACTGAATGTTTACAAAGGACTGCTCTTTAACTCCAAAGAAAGAGATTATTGTTTGTCATTTTACAATTTTGTACCATGTTGTGGCAGCAATAAAGAACACATTAAAATCTAGTGTTGAGAGGTCATGTGATATTATACATTAGTAGTGTTGTGAAATTAATTCCATAATAATCGTGATAATCATTAAAGGGGTGGTTTACTGCTTTTTTTCTTTGCATCGTTGTGTTTATGGGGTGCAATAACATGTATTTGAGGTTTTTCTTTTTTAATAAGTCTTATTTTTCATAAATGTAAACTTTATTGTCAGCCACATTCTCCTTTGTCATATACAGTAAACGACCGGTTGACTTCCTGATTCTATCAAACCACTCCCTCAGAAACAGGCAGTGGGCTACGATTGGTTAGTTTGGGCCAGTGTGTTGTGATTGGCTAAACTGTAGTACACGTTGTCCGGATACTTAATGCCTGTGGCGAGGGGGGCGTGGTTCAGCAAAGTCTGTAGTGTGGGAGCTGGGACGGAGCCGAGCGGTGAATAAGTGGGTCAAGTTCAAATGACAAAAAAAACACCTGTATGTGATTTTAGTGACTGGCATGAGGAGAGCGCATGAAAGCAGCCCGTGCGGACAACAGTTTGAGAGAGAGAGAGAGAGAGAGAGAGGCAGCTCGTGCACGTATCCTATGGAGTCCTGTTACCGAACGCGTGACATTTGAAAGCTGTATTCAGCGGGAAGAGTTTTCACAGCAATTGTGTTCAGCAAAGCTGTGTTCAGTGGGAAGAGTATTATCGCCTATTATTTATTTTTGCCTTTGACATTCTGAGTTAACTTTATTTGAGTTAGCTTTATTTATATCACACATAAAAAACCTGTTCTTACATCACAACGCCCATTACCTTTACGGGCGAAAGTTGCATGTGTGTATAGAGGGAATGCGCGTGACGTCACCGTCGGCCGGGGTGCCTGCAGTTCCTCAGTGAGTGGCAAAAAGACTGAGCGGCTGTATATGTGTTCAGCGTGAATGCCGCGAAAAACAAACACAACACACAAATAAAGCGGGAAAGAGCTTTGCGATTGACTGTAGGCCTACAACTAGATTTGACAAGACATCGGAGGTAGGGCTGGGTGATTTGGCTGAAAACTATCACAATATCAGTTTTTTATATCGGTCGATATCAATAATTATTGATTTTTTTATGACCCATTTAAAATAAGGACTAGGAGAAAAAAAATCTATTACAATTAAGCATTTTTATTTTACACTTAACCTTCCTCTGATTATAATCCCAAGACAGAAATGTCAACAAAACCATGGAAAACTAATTAAAAACGAGGCTGAATCCAACTTCTGATTCGAAGCTTCTTATTGGTGGAACGGATAGCGTCAATAAGAAGCTGCGAATAAGAAGCTGGATTCAGCCTCGTAATGTACACAGAAGTCACGGTTTCGGTTCAGACATCACGGTTCAGTACAATTTTTGTACAATGGAATGAAAAGCAAAACAGAAATATAGAAGGCATTTTTATAAATGTCTTAAGCCTTGTATTTTTTAAATAAGTTTTATTAATAAAGACATAAAACTATTATCAGTGCATTATAGATAAACTGGTTCTATGTAATTAGTTTATTAAATTATTAAAAAGACCTTGAGATACGTTTTGTAATTGTACCTGAATTAATTTAAAATTAATTAGCTATATTTCAGATCAATACATGTGTCTTCCTTAATTTGAATTAACCCGTTATTCTCATCAGAATTATAGATTTCCGTATAAAAAAAAAATACTACCAACACATTTTATTTTATTTTTTAATTTGTAACTTAAAAATAAACAGATTAGTGCTCCGTTTTGAGGACAAGAAATGAAAACCAATGCGGTTTGATGACTGTCAGAGTCTATTTTTGTGACTGTCCAAAAGATGGAACACAGACTGTTTTAAAAAAGGGTCGGATATAATTTTCTTTTAAAACAGTGCGTGTGTGACAGTTGTAGGTTACTGTTTGACAAAAAAAACAGTGTGACAAATGCACAATGTTGTGTTTAATTGCGAGTATAGGCCTACACAATTAAAATTAAACACTTTGCAGATGGACGGTGGGCCGAACGCTGCTATCTGCTTTAGTTTTTGAAATGATAGATCCTCGAGGATAGAGAAGCTGCTTTTTTCACATAAACTAAATACTTTTTTTCTGAACCCGAATCCGTTTGTTGGCAGTGTCAAATCGATCATAGTTTTTAGAGAACTAAATTTACGTTTAATAAACGGATTAGGCAAACGCGATTGAGTACTATACCTCTAACCAATCAAAAAACAAATTTTATCGTCACGTGACTAACATCAGCCAATCGTATTCGTTCAAAATAGATAAACATACCACGACTGTAACTTATCACATGGCATGCGTTCTCTAGCTAGCTGGCCACGAGTTTACACCATTCATTTTTCTCTGACAAAATCCACACAATCAAACATTTTCAGCACAGCAGGAGTCGAGAAACATTGACAGCGGCATCCAAGATTCCAGGTGTAACATTATTTTGCTCCGGTAAGTAAAGTTACTGCTGTTTATACCTGTCTAATAACATTAGCTAATCTGTTAGCTTTTTGCATGAACTCTGTAAATCATTAACATATAACGTTATTCCGTTTTATGTTTGTATTTATAGGTAACGTTACTCTTGTTAGAAATGACACAGATCACAGAGAAGAAAACATTTGTTTTAAGGAGATTCAGAGCTAACGTGTTAGCATGTAGACGTTAGCTAGATGTAATTTCAGCAATTCATGTTAACGTAACTTAAACAGAGTAATTCTATTAGGCTGTAGCGCCGTAAATTGGGATATGAAAGACGATTACCCTCGCCCGCGGAAAATATTCAGATACTTATATTGCCAGCAAGCCCTGCCATCCCCGGCCCACCATATAGTAAATATGTTTCAGCCTTTAAACCATTTTTCACCAAAAAAAAAGGTTTTATAAAAAACATCTCACTTAAATCAGCCTTTAAATCATTTTTCACAGAAACAAAATGTGTTATAAAAAGATAAACCTCCAATATTTCAGCATTTAAATTTTAAATCATTTTTAAAATTCTAAGAGTCTAAAAGCTTATCTTTTATTAAAGGGCATATTGCAGGTTAGAGGACCCAACGAGTCAATGCATAGAAAAACAATGTAGGAACTAGATTTTCTTTAAAATATACGCATAAACACGCTATAGAAGCTTCTGCAGTCGTTTTTGTGAGAAAATTTTACTTCCGCGTCTGAAAATGGGCGTGGCGGGCGTGACGCAATGAGCGGGAGATCCGTCTATTCACACAACAGGAAAACAATGGATCGCATGACATTTCGGACGCTGAGGAAATACTCGTATGACGGATCAAGCCATAAAGTTATGAGCCTGCTATGCTAAAGAGATCAGGGACAGGCCAGGATAATGTCAGACAGAATGGTCAGAGAAAAATTGAGCTGTGGTGTGAGGAGAAGCAGTGGAGAACAGGACAGGTGCCTTTTAGGTGAGAGACGTGCTTATAGTATACACGTTCGCTAACGATATACACTGTGCTCACAATATTGTACAGATTATTATAATCCTATAACAGGCCAGCAGACATTAGTATGTTTAGGGTAGATTTATATACTATTAAGTGTATAAAAACTTTACTCGAGTAGCCTATATTTCTATACTAAAAGCATAGGCTATACTCAGGTAAATTTTTAATACAT